GTAAACATTTAGTTACTATATTTAGTGAAATAGCCAAGGATGGAAACTCAGTAAGACTCACCAATAACGTTTCTCTGTAGAAGATCAGCATCCTCATATCAGCGAGCAGCAGTCTTATAGCTACAGAACTCTACTGTCATTTTACATTATTTGCTCAAATGCAACATTTAAGTCAATGCCATCTTGGTTGCTGTTGAAGGATCATAAGATATAAATTGCTCGTTTTTGTGAAGTAACACTGTCAAACAGTGACAGCAGCAGGTAATTTATATCTTATGATCCTTCAACAGCAACCAAGATGGCATTGACTTAAATGTTGCATTTGAGCAAATAATGTAAAATGACAGTAGAGTTATGTAGCTATAAGACTGCTGCTCGCTGATATGAGGATGCTGATCTTCTACAGAGAAACGTTATTGGTGAGTCTTACTGAGTTTCCATCCTTGGCTATTTCACTAAATATAGTAACTAAATGTTTACGCAGACATTCAAGAGTTATGCTGAAGTTGCTTGTTGTACTTATTGGTACTAAGTTTTAAGAAACTGTTTAGAATACTACGTTTATGTCATGAAGGGTTTATGTTTTTTTCTTTTACACTCAAACTAGTGTTTCCTTTGAACACAGGCGTGAAAGAGTTTTAGTTATTTGTTGACTTGCTGACCTACTAATGTAATGAGTTTTGAGAAATGGTTTAGATTACAGATGACATGTTTATCAAATGTTTTTATAAATGCGTTTTACAAGCAATGTTACTTTGTATTAAATAGAACATCTACTGAATCTATAAATAATGGAGCATTTTTTTGTTTGGAGCTCCTAATCTATTCAAAGTAGATTGTCTTTTTACAAACTGCTTTAAAAAATGTGTTGAAGTCAGTTTACTACTTTAATAACTTTACAAAAAGGATAAAATGGGTGTGAGTTCGATCCCCACAATAACTATAAACTGGTTGTGTGTTTGGTGGACCCCAGATATACACTATACCTGAAATGACCCCACAAGTAACCACTGCGTCAGGTTTATAACTTTTGTAGTGAAATATTTGTAATCTGAAGTGAGGCAAACAGGCGTTTTAGTTTTTGTCACGTTATTTTTTATTTTTTAGGTCTGTAGGATTATAGGAAAGGGTGGTCCCCACTATGTAGCAATTCTGACAGGTGACCCCCCACAATGCATAAAAAAAGAGAGAGAGTGTGTGAGTGTGAGAGAGAGAGAGAGAGAGAGAGTGTGTGTGT